GAGCTTTTTTATTCTCATGATATGTACTAGTGGTTTAAGACTTGGCAATACCCAGTCAATTTCATGGATGTTTTGTTGTCTTTAAATTATGTTAACATGATGCTTTGAAGTCTTAGTCTTATGAGTTGGTCAGACTTTATTCAAAACTTGTTTTGTCCACACTTGGATTTTTAATGGCAATGGCTGTTGTGCTTTCTAAACAATATATCTGAGCGTTTTGTCAATGATAATAGTGTTCACGCTGTAGGCTAAATGTTTTTGTTTGTGCCAGAAACATTTGTGGAATGCATGGGTATCAATCTCAGAACTTCGGCATTCAGTCATACTTAAAAGAATCAAGTTGCTATTGTTGAGGCAAAAGTTGAAGATAACTGCCATCCTAAGGGGACAGGTGAGATTCAGGGCTTTCATCTTCAAACTAATATTTCTTTAGTGACGCATGTAGTTTTTTAAAAGTAGCAACTAGCAAGCATGATAAAATTCAACTGGAAACGTCTTCATCTTTGTTTCTGGTGGGGAAATGCTTGCTAAAAGATTGATACCAACAAGGCATGAAAGACTGATTTCAGGTGGAGAGTAGGGGTGTAGAGTCTATATTCATTTACATCGTTATTTTCTGGGCCCTATACTCATCTTGAAAGACAAATTACCATAATCTTGACAGGAAGTCTTCAGTTTTGAGTGAATTTTTAGTTTCTTCCTCCCTAATCTCTATATCCCATGTCTCCTTTTCTCTCTGTTATTACTTCTCAAAGTCTGTTATGCTTCTTTATATAGATGCCTTATTTGGAAGAGTGGGCACTTCTGGATAAAGATCACTCCAGTTCTTTGCTTGGAGCAACTGAAGCTTTAAGGGCCAGTACCCTCCGTCTTCCTGTTGCTGAGAAAGCGATAGTATGTGCTACTTCTTTCTTTAGATATGCAACACCTATTAGAATAGACTGTCAAACTTTAACTAAGTTCTTTCTTTTATTTTAAAAAAAAAAAAATTCAGGCTGATGTACCAAATCTGAAGGATGCTGTGGGTTCAGCAGTTGATGTGATGCAGGCAATGGCATCCTCAATATACTCTCTTTTGTCAAAGGTGATTTTCTTTCTTTTTCTTCTAAATGGGTTTTGCCAGTGAGGGATGTTTGTTCTTTTAATTATTGTCTTTGCTGGGTATTTAAAGTCAATATAATAGCGAAAATATATGCATATAATTCTTTTTTATCAGCATGTTATCCAAACATCTCGGCACTCACAGTGGTAGAATCATACATTGTTTCTAGCAGGTGGAAGAAACTAACTCCTTGGTGGCGGACCTTGTAAAGGTGACCACCAAGGAAAAATTTTTGCTTGAACAATGCAAGGATTTCTTGTCCTCATTAGCAGCCATGCAGGTAATCATTTAATCGATCAATCATGTTTAGGTGAAACATTCGTATACTAAGAATCCAAGTATTCTTATTATTCTTATGTATCTAAATAATTATGACAGGTTAAGGATTGTAGCTTAAGAACACATGTATTACAACTTTGTCGTGTGCCAACTACCAGCTGCCTGACAACACGTGTGTAGAACTGATCTTATTTGACTGCTCACTCTCAATGCTAACATTACCCCCAGCCTTTTTATTTTTCCATGGGGCGGAGATGATGATGACCCAGAAGGTAATAACAACGGAAAGGAGTCGATAGCTGGTTTTGGTTTTCATTTTACATTTTGATCCCTGCTGTGGTTTCTACGTCTTGTGTGTAGTTTTATCTTTGTGTCCGAATGTTACAGAAAAAAGGGTGGCTTGTCTCTCACTAGTTAGCTGTATACAGTTTACTCTGTCATTCGAGGAAAAGGTAATGTCTATCAGTCTTATGTGTATATATAAATATATGTAATCAACTCATCATTGTTTAGTAGGTATTCTGTGGCCAAGATATTCATTTGAATGCTGGTACTAGCCCTGCAGCCTTTGTTTTATTAAGATTAGATTATAACAACCACAGGCATCATTTTTCCATAGATTATTAAAACAAGTTTGTGCGTGTACTGCCAAATTTGTAGCTGCTGGATAAACAGATAATTGAAGATTATGGATTGGGATATTGGTTTAACAATTGAGTTAAAAATACTGAGGCAAGATTATAGTGACCCATAATTTAGCAGAAGTGTCCTGTCTGTTAACAACATCCTACTCTGATGATGTGAGGGGCAAATTGTCTCTCTATTGTTGACAAAAGCTTTTCCGTTGTATGGAGTGAAATGAAATGAAGAGGGGTAAGAGCAACAGAATGAGGGGAACAAGTCACCCTCCTGACTCGTTTCCTTCCAGTCAAATCATGTACAGTTCTAAAGAGAGGAAGACACTAAGTATGATTTTGTCATAATTACAAAAGATTTGGGTTGCATCTTCAACTATGATTTGCATTGCAGTTTCCTGTTGAGATTCTGTCAGAACCATTAAAATTAAAATCCCTAGCAGTACATGCTTGAACGTACACCATCTGAAATCATGCTGCGTAGCTTTTTAACATTTGAATATATGTCGTTTTCTGAAGTCACGGATTTGAGTTTGAGTTTATATAGTAATGGACATGTTGGCACGCGTATTAATTTCCCCGAGGGGGAAGAGATAGGATGCAGTGGTCAGAGTCACGGACAATGTGTTGCTTTATCAAGTAGTAATGGGCCTCCTTAGTGGATACTTAATATGGTTCAAATCAATGACCTGTGTGTATCATGGACCACTAACAAGTTTACGCATCGCCTGCATCAATATATCAACGCAGGAACGTGGAAGATTAATAAATACATGTCACAGCTACTAGAATTGGGTATCACAAGGCGACAGATCAAAATTCGAGTATCTATTATAATAAGTGTCTATATTTAGTATCTAATAGTATACCAAATATTATTACCTCCACTAGGAGGATATCTGTGTTTAAAAAAAAAGTATTTTTACTTAAAACGATATTTATATTGAGTGCCTGATAATTCTTCGAACACTTTTATTTTCAATAGGAGAATATCTGTGTTTTTTTTTTTTTATAAGTGTGTTGCTGATATGTAAAGAAGTGCATATGATGATTTTTTTTTTGTAAAAAAAAAAACTTCTGATCCTCGATGTTTAACCTAATTTTCTGTTTGGTTGCTTGGTCTTTTAATTGGCATTAATATGGTTCCTCTGGTCTGACAACGTCAAATAAATGATCTCCATGCTTTACTATAATTTACAAGAAGACTGTATCAATCGAAAGCAAATTTATAAGAAGCAACAGATTCAACTATTAGAACTAACAACCGCATAATCAGATATTAGCGGCAGATTCAATTCAGCTCAAATGCTTCCCCAGTTTTCAAACTATGAGGACCATTATATCTGACTTTATGAAATCAGAGGAACCAAAGTCGATCGTCACATACCAATAAAAATATAGGGACCAAAGTGCACCTTACATGAAGCTTTGATTTTATGTTTATTTTTCAAAAAAACAATGATCAAAGATGTTTGTGGCGAAGGGAAAGAGCATTGTAATTCACCTTTGACCCAAAATAATAAGTGCCCAGAAAATGAAGAATGATGATAGCTGCATAATGAGTAGTTTGAAGTCTTGTTGGGAGTGAAGATATGGCTCTTGGAGTAAGTAAAGGGTCAGGGGACATTCTTGTGTGTTGGGTCCCATGTTGTGCTCCCAGTTCCCACGTAATCAACATTTTGTCCCACTAAAGAGACGCTGATGTCATGCCTCAATTCCTCCATTAGCTTAGATTAGAGCATCTTTGTCTTTGTCTCTTTCCCACTTTATGATTCCCAAGATTCTGTTCATCCTCTCCTTCCCCAGTTTTCACTTCGACTTTCTGATTTTCACCCTTTTTATCCTCCAATCCCTCCTCATGCTTTCACATTAAGGTCAATTAATATCCCTATTATTATACCAACGAACAAGCATTAGTTCCAGTGGATGGAGTTTTGATATCTCGATTTTTAGTTTGCGTAAATGTAAAAAATGTCTGAGGAAGTTATTCTCAATCATGTCTAACAATATTCCACGTTGACCCAATTAGATAATTATTAAAAAAAATTCTCCATTATAATAATAGTGGGCGTTATTACACGTCAAGAGATTTCACAATAACAGCATCCCGCTTTTACATATCATGATTTGAGCAACAATGGAACGTTGTTATTATAACAGTAAAAATACCTGTAAAAATGTCACTCGGCATCTTAACGGGAATAAGTGCCGAACCACTTGAACCAACTGTGTCGTTAGTTGTTTTGGATATTTTTTTATATATATATATAAAATAAGCTTCTATTTTAAATTTACTATTTACTAGGTTGATCTCCTTCTTCCTCAGCTGTATCTTTTAATACTCTTCTGGTTTTAAATATAAAACACATTTCGTAGTGTTATTTATATTACAAAATAAGTCTTATATTTAGGACCGGATGAGTAGTTTTCCTTACAATTAAGAATGAATGCTATCTTTTTGCAAATACCAGATAGGCAAATATACTCAAATTTCACATATTTTTATGACTCTTATAATCACACACACACATATTTTCCAACCTACAATCTATTATAGCTTTGTGGTTGCCAATTTGCATCAGTGTGCAACAGACAACATAAAAATTTGACCATAACATTACTTCAGTCCTAAATATAAGACCCTTACATAGTGTATATAAGAGTATTATATTTAGAACTGGAATAGCATCGCAAAAACATGGTTGTTGGAGAAATACTAAAGGGTGGTAACTCTATCGACGTAACTTTGTTCATTCTCAAACTTAACCATTCTCCAAGGGATTTGAGACTGTTCACTCTTTCCCGTCTTAGATGTCAGGGTTAATGGATAAGTTTTTTTAACCTTCAAATAAAACCTCAGTATAACAAAGTAGTATTATCCAATGCAAACGATTAAAAGGAATATTTTAAAGAAATCAACGCAAATTTTTTACAACTTAGCTAGTTTTCTTGTATGCAAATTAGTTATTTGCAGATCCCCCCATTTAAGAACAAAGACTACTCTTGAACACATCCTCACCATAAAAAATGACAGTAGTTGTTGCCGGATGTTTCAATATGAAAGTCATAGTTGCATTCTCTCTTCATCTTTATTTTCTTGATACATTCAACATGACAGAAAATTTGATGCCAGATTAAGATTCAAGTGTCGATCTCTGCCAACCGAAGTTAGAAAATTAAAAGGGGAAAAGATTTGTATATTAGAATTCATCTCCTCTAGAAGAAAAGCCTGAGGAGCTTCCTTTCAGCAGTGCCACACTGCGCAGCGCTACTCCCTAACGTTGACGTTTCAGATCCCTCCGATGGCGTCGCTGCGCTCCCATCATCCTTTCGGCCGGTGCCAACCACTACCACTCTCTCCGGCGAACCTGATCTCCCCAAGCAGTACTGATGATCAACAAGATGATCGCGTGCTTGGATATTATTCTCCAACACGAAGTCGTAACAACGAACTTTTCTCTTTAGGTTACTTGATCCCAATCCCGCCATATAGTCTCGCTGCCTAGAAAGATCTAGAACGGGTCCGAAGCAATCGTCCTCCGCCGCAGTCGGTGCCGAATTTCCTCCGGAGACGTCAGGGAGTGGAGTCAAGGCGCCGCCGTAGAGAACTCTCTGAACTCCTGATTGGCAAAGATGCCAATTCCCGGTCCAGAGCAGGCCCACTGCACCGTTCACCGGATTTATGGTTCGTCCCACTGCTTCGTACAAAAGCGATCGAAACAAAGCTGCCAAACCACAAACACAATTTAGAAAACTAAAGCTCTCTATCTTCCTGTCATGCCCTTCTCGAATATAATTAGTTTTGTATTGATGACGGCTGTGTGTGTGTGACACTGTGTATGTATAGAGATTGTAGAGGGAGAGGGAGAGGGAAGAGGGAAGAGGGAAGAGGAAGGTGGCGTATGAATGATACCGGATCTCTGCGGGGAGGGTACGGCGGAGACGAAGGACATGAGGGCGGCGCGGCCGAAGAATTTAGCGACGAAGACGGTGGCATGGGCTTGGGCTTGTGGGCTCTCTATGCCCAGAAGGCAATCTCGGAGCATGCAGTCGTCGCTGCAACCTTTCCTAAGCACACGACAACCGTTGCAGCTCATCCCTCCCTCTCTCTCTCTATATATATGTGTGTGCGCGCGCACGCACTTCTTCCTCCTCCTCCTGCTGCTCCTGTTCACCTGCAACTCTTGATTAAACCCTCAAAATCCAAAGTGGGAAGCTAATGATAGACTCAAAAAGAAACAGAAAGATGAAGGAAGGGTTGTGGAAGATGAGGCTTGCATGTAATGAAATGTTATGGGAATGGGATATATAGAGGGAAGACCTTCACCATTATTCATATAATTTCATATATTATAAGCCAAAGCACGAATGGATTATTAATTGTTAATTATACAATAAGTATGGTTAATTTAATCTCATTATGTGGTTGAGTTTATACAGTAATTAGTGAGTAGTACTACTATATGTGATGGGGGTGGGGTTGGGCGTTGGTCTCTTCCAAAGAAACTGGCGACGACAGCTGCTCAGGTTCTCCGCAAATGTTGGAATTCCTCCAGACCTCCACCGTTGGATTCTCCGTCCTTCCCAGTTTTCCAATATTACATTTTAATCCCACACACACTTTTTTTAATATATAGTTATTTCATAGGATGAAATTCAAGTATTGTTTGGCATAATTGGGAATATCTCTCGTAAAAACGTTTTCTGCATTTATATAAATTCAATTTAATTAGGTTATAATCAAGTATTTGTGAGCCTAATTGGAGGCATTCATCTCAAAGACATTTTCTACATTTACACGGATTCTGCTTGTACAGTCAAAATTTCTTCAACTAAGATCAGTGCCCGTTGGTATCTGCAAACACATGGGCAATAATTTATATTAATACGTAATTATCATCAGTTACTAGTGTTCATCCTCACAGAACGAGAAATTAAGTTGTATTTCACTCACAATAGTGTGTCTTTTCAAAGATTCTATAAGCATAAGATCTAGTTAAATGATTTGAGTTAATTAGTTAAGTTAGTTACTTGTAATAAATAGATATTGTCTTTCTTAAAATATCCTTGCTAACCATGTGTATATAGTTAGATTTACCATTTAATGAAATATTTAACATATACAACTATTATAAAGACTATCTTGAGAAAATAGATAAATATGAAAGACAAAATAGATTAAAATCTTATATTTAAAACTAAATGGAATATCAAATCAACTTTTATATTAAGTAACAGGAATAGTATCAATTGATGTAGATGTAGGAATTGTTATCCTAATTTGCTTGGTTATAGTTTTATATATGCATTTGAAATTTGCTATGCAAGTCCGAGAATATATAACTTTTGACTCAAAATGGCAGCTGGAAAAGTTGTGAGAAAATATATATTTAATTTCCTCCAAATCTAGATATAAGAATTAGATAATCCTGCAGAGAAAAAGTTAATTATTTATATAAAATGTATATTGATCTTCCTAAAACACTTTCTTTAATTATTTGCGTGAAAACTATCTCGCCATGAAAATCTTTTTAATATGTGCAATCCATAAAACTAATTAAAAAAATTATAAATTTAAGAAATAAAGTGAATTGAATTCTTACATTAAAAAAATAAATCTATTAGCTCCTATATTTATAATGGGAAATAGTTAGAGAGAAAGCAAAGTTTTAAATATGGAAAGGGAAAAATAAAAAAAAGGAACGAGGAAGGCAGGGGTTGGTCGGTTGATGGATGAGGATGAAGGCATAGGCATAGAAGTTACAGCCAGTCGAAGAATACAAGTGACGTGTCTGTCCAAAAATTAATGGACCACATTTGCATTCATATAATATTTAATTAGATTAATTTGAGAGAGATTAAAAAAAGTGGTTATTATATATATCCCATAAAATTAAAGAAAATTAATGTGCTTGTGGAGAATGGGATTCCATTTTGGTTAAAACTTTTGGAGCTTCCAGATTTTGGCTTCTTCCATCTCTCCCCCATTTGCCATTATTTTATTTACATTCTTTATTTTTATTTCCAGGGTCTTCCTCTTCCCCTTCATTATTAATATCATTTATATATATTAACTCAATACTCACTTCCCACTTAGCCTCGTGCTTACCACACATTATTAAATATTTAATTCTTTTTCACACCACCAATTTATCTGAATCATCCAAAGTTATAATATTCTTAACGACTAATTTCTTTTCACTATTTTATTTTTTTATTCATTTGTATCCTCTTGTTAAAATATTTTTACAGATTTTTTTAGTTATAAAGATTTAAAAATAAAATCCGACCTTACGTAGTTTACTAGTCTCAGAAAGAAGGACTATTATTGGCATCACATACCTTTTCATATTATAAACTTCTTCTGCCCCTTCAATGCATCAGGAAGACAAATGGGATTTGGAACTCAGAATTGGGCATCTTATTTTTTATACCTACATATTTACATATGCTTCAAACATATCTCAATTTACTTTCAGAAAATTAATGTGGAGTCTCATACAAACAATTTAATCACTAAAAAAAATTCATAATAATAAATTAGTAGTATGTAACGACAAGTTACGATATAAAAAATAATAGCAGGTACATATTTTTCACTTATTGCCATACTTTTTTGTGATTTAATTAGTATTTATATGAATTTCTCTTCTCATCTCTTTTTTTTTTCTCCTTTTTTAAGTGAATTGTGTTGTGAATCCATTCAGGTTTTGGTTGGTCTCAAAACTTAACGACATTTCTAGGGATATTACTATTTATTCATCAAAGTAATTTTCTTCTGTTATCTTATTTATGATCTCCTAATGCTCAGCTTTAACCCTTAAAGTCAAAAGAGCTAGAAGGTTTAGGAAAATTTTACCGCACTGTCTTAAATTACGATACTACTATATAGTTATTAATCCTTTATTTTGAAACTTTGATATTTCAAGCTTTTGCTCTCCAACAATATCTGAGTTTCTTTCGATAGGAACAACGTGAGGGTGGGTACGATTTGTACAATGGCTTCATTAATATAGTAAAAAAAATAGCATAGTAACAACTGGCTTAGCTAATTATTTACAGAATTTTTAATTTAAAATAGCGGTGATGCGCAATGATTATGCAGCCTAAAGACAAGTTAGAATGACCTTGTTTTTATTAATCTGAGAATTAATTAGTCACCCCACAATGGTTACTTAGTGTTTTACAGCCCTTCTGACGTTCATTTTAATGCATGCTTTCTGTGAATTTTGGGTTAGTGATTTTGTTCCTTTTGATATGTGCTGCGAGTTACTAATTAATGTAATACATATATAGAGTATTTTTTTAAATGATCTCGATTTAATAAATTTATAACCTTTTTTTTTAAAATGTGATTTTTGGTGTATTGCTTGGCTGTTGTCATTGTTGTGAAGCAGAAATGTTAATTTCTTTTGTCTGTGCTCTAAATTGGATTAGACTCAAGCAAATAGTTCTGTCCTGTTATGAAGCACATAAAAAAAAGTAATAATCTTAAAGAATCTACAGGTGGCTAGCTAATAATAATTCAGAAATTAACTGGCTTGATTTCTTGCTAAAATTCTCCCTCAGTTCTCTCTTCGCACTGTGATCCCCCAAAGCAGATTCCTATTATAAATCAAACCGGTCTCATAGCTAAATCCACAATGTTTATCGGACACTCTTGTCTTAAAGATGAGTGATCTTATAGCAAAAATGACAAGCAAAAATAATCAATTTTTAATTATAAATCAGTAGTTGAGAAACGTATATTAAAAAGAAAAAGAAAAGAAAGGCCTGAAAATGAAATAAAGTTTTTCTTTTGATTGCCTTGGCGTGTTGGGAGAGACTTCAAAAGTAATTAAGTTCAAGGTCCCTTCTAGCTAGTTGTTGAAAGAACAGTGCAGATCATCCGCATCCAAGTAGAAATCATACTACAGATTGAATCCTTAATCCTGCTCCCTCATACACTCTAACAAGGTGGGTTCTAACTTCTAAATACCCATCCCTTGTTGCTGGAAATTTTTTAATATAGAGGCAAAAGATATAAGGAGACCAAGATTATAAATCTTATTATTATTTGTTATTTCTGTCTCTGTCTCCGCTATCAGAGAGGGTTCCTTCACATTATGTGGACTTGACTGGGAACAAAAGTTTGAGTTTCAGCTAGTTTGAATAGAATGAATACCAAGGATCACATTATTTCCATCCTCAACAATTCTACTATCCCAAACTATATATACCTTGGTTTTTATACTCAATCCATAGACAAAACACCAATGTTGGCAACTAATGCATCAAAATGAATTCAATTCACCTTCAGGAAACTGAGTGCCTCCTGTTTCTGGAAGCTGTAGATTTGGCTTCTTCTGGGATAGCAGAACCATTACTCTCAGAGGAGTCGGAGCCACTATTATTTTCTCCAGCACCACTTTTGCTAACCCACAGCTTTATGAAGGACCTTTTTGATTTGAGCAACCCTTTCATCTTGCTCATGACAACCTTGTCTGTCATAGGTTTATTATTATTATTATCATCATGTCCATCTTTGTCTCTGGTGGATAAACTTAAGGATGCAACTTCCTTCCTCAATTCCTTCAGTTCCTCAGCTGTGGCAACATTATCTGAGTCATCTTCTGTGTTACTTGAACCACCATGGGTTCCACTGTTTATACACATGATGGTCCCTTTCAGCATATCAGGAGTGTTTGTGCCAGAAGTTGCAGCAGACCTTGCCTGCTCAAAATAGAGAACCTGCACAACCACACGCATCGGTAGCCTTTCATTTTGGACTGCATGCATGCAGGCATCAACCGATAGCTTCTTGCAATCCATGAGCTTGCATATCCCATTTCTCTCATCTTTGCTGATTCCTGGGTGCTCCTGTTTCCAAATGCAATAAAATTGAAGGGATGCCTCAGTTACTTTTTCACAATGATGTTAAGAATTAGGATAAAATTGCTGTTTCCCTTGATGTGGTTTGGCCTAAAAGTTGGTTTATTATGCATCCCTCCGATTGTTTGCCCTATTACCACTTGACCTCATTGTGTGTAACTTTTTTGTTCACCTTTTAACATAAATCAGAAATAACCATCTGGCTATAAACAATGGATATTTTTGTCGTTGAAAAGCCTGCACTTGTTGAACTGTTTCAAGATACAAGATAATCAGACTTTTTAACAAAGATTTTTTTTATTTTATCAGTTTAATATTTATCTAAGAACTTCATAGTTGGGTGATTGTGCAGGGCAGACCATAGGATGGCTAAATGAAATGCGTTCAACTACAAGGGGTAA